TCTTATCTGTTTACTCCCAAGGTAATTTTAATTTCATGTAGTATTTGTAAACAGTGTTGGGAAATTGTTTGGCATTTTAAAAAACCCAGTAAGATAGTATTTATAAACAGTGTTGTAAAAGAGGCTGAAAATATGTGCACAATTTCTGGAAAGTTAAGTTTAATAGAATTCATTAGGCCTGATATCTAAATTAACATGTTAAAACATGTTTGCACTCTTTTAGGTTTGGCAGCCTTACTTAACTGAAGTTAAAGTGGGTTGGAGCACCTGGGCTTTAAGACAGGGGCTGAGAGTTTAAATGCTGCACTGACTGTGTGTCTGTGTGACTGATGGGGTTACATGCTATACTTTCTAGGTGGCCATGGGCAAGCTTTGAATACTTTATATCTAGCAAAATGTGGTGGTGGCAGTGTGTGAAACTCTGAATTTACTCAATGGGATATAATTAATATAGAGATTGCAATTTACACTTCAATGCATTTCATAATACCTTAATTTTCATATTAACTTGTATACAGTATTGTATTTTCTGGCAAAAAAATTAACTCACCCATAGCTAGTGATGTCATTTGTTGAATAATCTCTTTTAATAATAATAATAAAATAGTGGCTGCTTTGTGCTGGCAAGAACAAGTGTTTTGAACCTGCACTATGGCCATTTGAAGTTAGAGAAAGATGCTGGTAATAGCTGAAGTCCACTAGTAAGCCACACTTAGAGGAGGCCTATTGAATCAGTGGAACTAATGGTGGAATTGATGCATCAAATGTTCTAAGATTCAATGGGGCATTGAAGCATGATCTCTAAAGTAATGTTCTAGTTATTATGGACAATATTAGTTAATATTAAGACTCCTGGATATATTAACAATCTTGACTATTGTTTTCGCAATAAATCCTATTGTTACATTAAATTTTTTTAGTTGGGTCAAAAAGGATTTAGTCAAGTTCTGTAAAATGGGGTCTAGAATTTTAAAATTACTGTATAATAGCTTAATCCTCAACAGGTTTGATGCTAACAGTTCTAATTAGCTGTTTTAAAAGTTGGCCAAAATTCTGTTTTGTTTTGTTTTGTTTACATTGATATAACTCAGTTGGCAGAAACATTGGTGACAAATGGCTGCAAGTTAAGAAATTAGGATAGGCTGACTTGCCACCAAGATGTAGGCTAATTTGGGTGCCCCAGAGGATGAAACTGACAAGATTTCTGCCAGAGACATTCATGCTCAACAATCATTAAGAGTTTTTTGGCATTGTATTCTGGGGTAGCTGAAACTGTCAGCTGCAGTGGCAAGTTGCAACTGATTAATAAAGGCCCTGGTTGCGTGGCTTGCATGCAGCCATTGTCTGTGACCTGCACCTTGTCAAACAGCTGGATTTGCAACTGAAATTTATGTGATTTCACTTACTGTGGAATAAAATTCCATTAGGGTTCTGGCCCATATATATTTAAACAACTTCCATCCTGGATTTCAATGTGGGAAATCAACATATTCAAATCCAAATGCTTTTCCACTGCCAAATCCCACTAATGTTTTTGGAAGATAACTGTCTTCAGGGTTTACCAAATCCTCATTGTATGTCTTCTTACTTTGTGCTCTGTTTATGTGTAGTTAGGGAGGTGTTCTGTGAACATCAAAGCTGGTTCCTGGATGTGTCTGTGTTTTTTGTATATTAATGTTAGTAGCCACAGAGCAAAAAGGTGTGTGTTGTGTCATGCTAGGCGCTTCCTTCTTCCTACAATGAAGGGCTCAGATTCTCTTTCCTGTTTTCTGTGTTGGGTTCCCTGTGAACTCTTTCTTGTGGTTTTCCTCTTTTATGTCCTGTCCTTTGCAACCCCCCCCCCCATTCTCCACCCACAGATAACTGGGGAATTGTGTTGCTTGAAATTGGGCTGTGGAAGTCTCATCCTTCCCAACAAACCCTTACTTTTCTAAGGAACACCAAGGATTCTCCATAAAGATGACTCTGCCACTCTAGAAGACTGTAGGAGTTCCCAACGAATTCCCTTTAGTATATTTCACTATAGAAGCACTGGGCTTTCCTAGTCCACTTGACCTGGAGACCTGTATTCTTTATTTAATCACTTTTCATTTCAAACTTTTATGCACAGCCTTATGTTCTGGAAGCAATTTTCCTAGGAAAAAAAGGTCACCAGAAAAGGACATTTTCCAATGGAAGCACCCACAAAGTGTAGAAATGCGCCTTAGATTTAAATATTTGAGTATTGTCTATACAGGAATTATTTAATTTCATAAAATGCCTTGCATACAGATTTAAGAGTCTTGACTACACTGCTGCTAAAAATGATCCTTCTTGGCATCTTCCAGATTGCTTGGTGTTAATACATGTTAATTCCCAACCTTGATGCCTTTCAACAAACACCCATCCCGATAAATCTAGCATTTATTTTTAAAAATTAGATTTGTTTATTGATTGATTTCAGACTAAAGTAAATCTGGTCCTTGCCCATGCAATAATTGTCACTGCTTACGGATTTTCTGAAATTGCCGTGTTATTTTAGAGTACCATATAGCTTTTCAGGAGGAGGCAGGTGTGTGGTTGATGGACAGAGTTTATGGCCTTGGGGTACCGTTAGGTCCCATCTAATGGAAATATTTTAAAGCAAAGTATTTTTTATGCCAGCATCACAGTCATATCCACTGAAAACAGAATTATACTAACAGCAAGCTGTGCATTGAACATGACTATGCAAACCATATAGATTTAGTGTTCGTCATAATGAATTTATCAGTCTTGGAAAATATATAATGCAGACATGGCTGTAGGCATGTTTATCATGACTGCTCTAAGGAGCTATCCAGCAGCTTGCCTTAATCTGCTTTCCCATTACAAAACCTTGCAGAAATGTGAGTATTTATTTATTTATTTTTCCAGCTTTTACCCCACCCATTTACATTTAATGAATCCAGAGTAGAGTACGGTTTCCTTCTTACCCAAATTATCATTTGATTGGTAGACTCTTTCCCAGATCCTGTTTCAGTTTCTTGACTGGCCTTTTTTTCTGTATAAGAAACCACAACTGGTCCCGTTCTTCAGCAGTTATCAATTAGCCTTATTTTTACTGCATCTTCCCCAAATTTTCATTGTAGCACTTGTCTGACTTACAAGAATGAAGACACCACTTTTTCCCTTCTTCCATGGTCAGAATCCATTCTTTACAATGAAAGTAGACTAGATGCAGTTCATGTAGCTGTCAGTGATATAAATGGTAGGAGGTCTGATCCAGGCGGCTCCTGTTACAGTCCAGACCAGTCTCCTTGTGTTTGTTGTTTGCACTGGGAAAGACTTCCTGTTCGTTCTAAGCTGTGCTTTCCCGTAATACAAACAAGGGAATGAAAAGGTGTAGGGATTAGGATTAAAGCATGAGGAGTATATGCATTTTCTTTCATGCTCCCATTTTGGCAGATTGCCTGGCCTTGACCTGCTAACATTGTGCACCAAGGGAAGACGTGATTAAGAGGAAATGCAGTTCATGCTAATATATCAGGCCATGCCAAGGCAAAGGTTGAATGCACGGAGAGAGAGAGGTGTGATTTAGAATTTCCGAAGCGTTTTATGTATACTGTTATGGAATCGACTGTGCGAAACAAGGTTATTCTCTCCTATTGTTAAAAGGAGAACTTGAAACTATTATGGGATATGTCCATTAGATACATGTGCATCCATTTTACCAGGCGTTTGCATCATACATCTATCAGCTGCTATTGAAAATAGTGACTGTGTGTCTCATTTTCCCTCAAGATATAGGGGCTGTATGGCACATCATAGGGCATGGTATTTTTTACCACGCTAACCCTAGTAAAAGTTAACCATAGGTAGAGTTAACTTGTATTTAATTTTAATCATAAATCAAAGGCATGCTGGTTGTGGAAGAAAGCAATTGGGAGCCTTTATTATGGCCTTGATTAGAAATATTTCAATATTCTTTGGCATATAATTACTACTGTCACAAATTACGGAATAAAACAGTAAAACAAGAATCAGGCTTGGGTACCGATTTTCAATAAAAATAGAGCCTGCGGTGCTGTAGAAATGTCAAATGTCAAATTCACACATGTACAGTACTGAGTGAAGCAAATACACTTAAACTTGAAACAGTAAATTAGAACCCATGTGAGGGATCAGGTGCAGGGGGCAGGATACTGGAAATACTGCATTTCTTCAACATAATTTCATTTGTCCCGTTATGGGTACTGCACCATTCAGTATAGACTTCATTTGAGAACATTAAATGTTCTTCAGGTCTTTCCAGTAAAACCTTTGATTAATTCAGTTTATCATCAAAGCATAAATATAAAGCAAATCCAGATGGACTTGTGATATGCTTCCTATGGCAAGATGAATTGCAAAACTATCTTAGTAATTTCTGCCTCCACAGCTAATTAACACTGGTACTTCAGCGAACAACAGCTTGTTTTATGTCTGTAGAAATATTGCAAAAATTAGTCTTAAACATAATTGTTTTCTTTTTACACATTCTGTTGATAATGGCACAATATTTTCCTTAATATTTTTTGTTACTAAGTGGTGTTTTCTTATGTATACTAACTGAATTTGTTTCTTATACATGACTGAAATCTGCAATATAATATCCAAAAGTTATGGATATGATCCCAAGGTATAAAAATGAGTCAGGATTTATTGGACGTTTCTTGTATAGAAGATTTTCTTGCCAAGTTCTCAAGCAGGGTATTTTAAGCTTTTAAATGGAGGGGAATAGAGGAACTGAAGATAACATACACACTGTGTAGGTTCTCTAAAAACAGTCTTAAAGAACTAGATATCACAGCTTTTGTATTTTTAGTTTAGAATATATATTTGGAGAACTGAAGGAAAAAAAGACAAGCCCTGTTTTGCTTTATTGCTAGTTACGTGTCGTTAATGATTATGCTGGAAAACTGGTATTAATTAATTATTTAATACATTACATACAATGTAATTGTAATATATTTACATACAGTGCAATTGATACACTTACATTCAGCCATATGAGTTGTCAATCTTGATTGTTTAGGCTTTAGAAATATATGTAGGCAGCTTGTGTGAAGTATATTTTATCAAAATTCATATTTCACTTTATAGTGGATTGTGAGGGAGTTTGTAGGATAGACATATTAACTGGTTAATCTTGTTAGATTATCTCAATAGCATTCTTATTCTGCTATAGCATGAAAGATTTGAGTAACAGGTTAGTTACAAGATTTTGGAATTAGTCATAGAATTGGTCAGGCATGACAGGTGGGAAACAATACTTTTATAAGTTCTTTGGTTGTCATCAAACAATGCATGCATTGTCAGATAAATCAAACTGGTGTACAGTGTATCTTTGTTGCTGCAGATAGAAGATTCATTGTATGTATGTTGATTTGCCTTGAAAAAGCTGATTGAATTTATCAAGAGTGAGTGGGCAACAGCTCTTGAAGATAGTCATAAAGCAGAATGGTTTTTAAAAAAAATCATAGCCAAGCATAATTGATACCCACTTTTATTGATCAAGTAATTCAGAAATGTTTCCTCTTCCCATTAAAGAAAAAAAAAATCCTCTTTCTGTACTGCAGTGACAGAGTAACCCACACAACTCTTTGTATTGAAGATATGTATATTTGTTTCCTAGGTTAAGTGACAACCAAAATAGACTGACTTGATTTCTCTTTGCACCTCTTTTCAGTTCAGGAATAAGAGGGGAAATGTTGACATGACTATAAAAGTTGCACTTCAGAATCAGGAGGGATGAATTTTGAGAAATAGAAACATATGCAGAAGGAAGAGGAAATTTGCCCCCTTGCCTTGATCTCCAAACAGCTAGGCAAAAAACATTAACTCCAATACACTCTCTCCCTTGAATTTTAATAATTATCATACTGAATGTATGTAAAATGTTTATATTGAATTATAAGAAACTGAGTTTTAAGCTGTTTACTTATGGCTACTCAGATTGCCACAGGCAGATGCATTCTGTAGGCAGCATGATTTTCTCCACTGTTGAATGAGAAGATTAAGGTTGTTTGGTTGAAGGATTTATATAATTGAATGAACATGTAGCCACCTGTGTACTTTTGAAAGGAAGAAGACATCTAAAGCGGTTCATTTTAGAGGGGCTGTCTTCAACATTGTCTCTCTCCCTGGCAGCTGTTCACTATGCTATTCATAGATCACCGCTGATGCTAGCTGTACTGCTACTGTTGCCATAAATCTGCATTTTTCAAGCCATGTAAGGATCTGTAAAGGTATTGGGTTTAATGAAGTGCTCTTGCAGTTGTATCTTTAGATATTCCCTCCCAAAGCTCTATGAAAACTGAACAGGTGTGCGGTCATATTGTCTGTTTTTGATGTGCTCCACGGTGAGTCCTTGTACATTTTGAACAAATCCCAGGTAATTTGCTAACTTTTCAATTTCTTCAAAACCTTTGCATATATTTGAAATATCCACATCTAACAGTATGGTCGCAGTCTCCTCCAAAGAGATTTCGTCCCTTTGAATGATAATTGTATACCGGTTGGCCAGCTTATATTTTGCCCGATGAACAGTATGGTTGCTTGCATAATGTTGGATGCCAGCCTTCTGCAGAAAGTCTTCCATGGTCACACTTCCTTTCTTGGTTTTTAAATCTATGTGTAAAAAATCTGCCAGATAAGTGATTATCTCTCTCTCTTCTACCAGCTCAGCATATGTGGAACTAGATATTGCAGATGCATTTGCTGTGTCTTCTTCATTCAAATCCTGCTGCTGATTATTTTGGTCATTAACACATAACATTTCTGGGGCTTTCCTTTCTTGTGAGCTTCTGTAGATGGCGGTATTTTCTGTTCTGCTCTCATACAGAGGTTCCCGTATTTCAGGAGCGGAACTGGCAGGATTTTCTTCAGCTGGTTGCTTCTGAGATTCTAGTATAAGACTCCACTGTTGATTTCTTTTACTCAGCCACAGCTGAGCTGTTGCTAATTCATCTAAATCCGTGTCGTAATAATGCTCCCTCTCAGTGACTATATCCAAGCATTTGGCACCAACAGTCAGCAATTTGACTTTACTGTCTTCTGTTACCCAGTACTTCTGATGAAGTTGAACTTGGGCGACTCGGGGGAGTTCTTGTGCTGTTTCCATATTCCTGCTGAGAAAAAGTATATACAAAGAGAAATATTCGTCTGTCGAGAGCCAATGAATAGAGTATTATATTAGTATTAAGGAGACCTGGGTTCAAATTTGTGTTTGGCTAAGGTAACTCTCATTGGAGTTGCAGTGGTAAACTACTCCTTGAATGTTTTGTATTAAAAAAAACAACCTCACACACAACCTACCCTGTTTCCCTGAAAATAAGCCGTAGTAGGATTTTTCAGGATGCTTGTACTGTAATATAAGCCCTACCCCAAAAATAAGCCCCAGTTAAGTGAAACGCCGCCCTCCACCATTGTGCAGCAACTAGAAGATGACATAACTGTAAAAGAAAACATCCCCTGAAAATAAGCCCTAATGCATTTTTGGAGCAAAAATTAATATAAGACCCTGTCTTATTTTTGGGGAAACACAGTATTGGGATTTGTTTTATGTGAGAAGTGATAAAACAGCATATACAGTAATAATACATTTTACTGATTGTGCTTATCATACAAAGAATTACTTAACAACAATAAGAACAATCTTAGAACAGCTAGATAGCTCAGTGGTTTAGGTATCGGTATTGGGATTTGTTTTATGTGAAAAGTGATGAAACAGCATATAATAATAAATTTTACTGATTGTGCTTATCATGCAAAGAGTTACTTAACAATAAGAACAATCTTAGAACTGCTAGATAGCTCAGTGGTTTAGGTATCTGGCAGTTGGGAGTTCAGTTACTCACTGTGCCTCCTTGACAGTGGCTGGACTCCATATTTCATTTTTTTGTTTTGTTTTATTACTTGAATATGCTGTTGTATTTTGCTCATCACTTACATGACCAGAAAAACTTCTTTGAGCCCTACCTTTCTCATATTTTTCTTCTTAATGTTACAGAACAGCAGTCAAGGGCAGAGTGAATCAGTGTTTCACATTCCTAGGTGTCTGATTTATTTGATTTATATCCTGCCGTTGTGCTACTGTGGGTCTCAAGACAAGTTGCAGGATTGAAACAAGTAGGGATAGAAAGATACAGAAGTTTATTCATGTTCAGTCAAGGCAACTGTTTACCTATGATTGAACAAACCAGAGTATTAAAACATTGATGATGTTTTAAATATCAAATTAAAAACAAATGAAATGACATTCATGACAGCACAACATGTTTAGTAAAAGCTTTTCTTTCAACAGCCAGTCAACTGATAAAATGAATGAACTGGCTTTGCAAGTCAGTGGAAGGACCGTAGCGTGGCCAGCTTAGCCTCCCTTTGGAAAGGTTGCAGTGATAGGGAGCAACTACTGAGGAGGCCCTCTTATCTTCTCACCAAACATGCCTGTCAAGAGTAGTGGGACTGAAAAAAGGGCGCTAGGCAAAGAGGTCAGATCCCAAAAGTATAAAAGCACCATATGTTTTTATAAAGGCACTATGACATTGGCAGTTATGTTTCCAACTCCTTTTTTAAAAAGACTTCCAACACAGAGTTTGCATCTTTCATTGCTGACATTTTCATCAAGCAATGGCACAGAATTACATTTACCGTTGTGATCCTCACTTCCACAGTGTGAAGAGATCCTTCTGGAATTCTGTATTGTCACTAGAGATGGGGTATTCATATTTGTATCCCTGGTGATATGAATATGAACCAGACTCTTCCCCCCCCCGCCGTCCCAAACTGCCCAGTCCACTCATTATGCACAGTCATCATTGTTCATGTTGCACCAGTTGCAGAAGTAGCCTAGCCAGCGCGTCCCACCTTCCTGAACTGCCAACCGCTCATCAGCTGAGTGGACATGTCATCCTGCCTCCTCACCGGAGTGGTGGGCAATGCGGGTAGTGCCAGCCGAGCTACTTCTGCGATTGTGCAGCATGAATGATGACAGCTGTGCACACCTGTGCAGCGAGTGATAAATGGACCGGCTGGTTCTGGGGAGAGGGTCTGGTTCCCCCCGGGACTTGTCGTGCCAATATCTGTATTTGTACCCCCAGGGATATCTTATCTCTAATTGTCAATTAACTAAATAAGTTGCTGCTAGCAACATATTTGGCCAACACATTCAACCACAACTCCAGATTGTTTTAAGGAAAACATGCCAATCCTGTTCTGAGATCCCACACTTATCCCCTCCATTAAAAGAATGAGAATAACAAAAAATATTTTCATCTTTAAAGCGGATGGCATATATTTTTAGTTTACTGTCCATCAAAGCTTAAAGCAGTAATAAATCAGTTTCCTCCTTGTTTTTATGCTGTTCCAACTGATTAATTCTTCATTGTATAGTTCTGTTCATTCTGCCTTGCATTTAGCAAATTGTGTTATCAATATTAACTTCCATTTAAATATATTTTAGTAGCCTACCTTATCATCTGTCCACCTTGCAGTGAAAGGGTGCACCAGATATTTAGGAAGTCCTTTTATTGATTTCTTGCAGGTATAAGCCTAACTTTTCTTGCCAGAAGGTCTCCTTGCTTCAAAGAAGCATACATAGATGCCTTATCCTGTTTATTTTTAGTTATCACTTGGGACTGCCATGGCAACAGTGGATGTGGCAACAGCTTGTACTTACTGTTTATAGATACCTGACACTTGACGTTGAGGTGCAGTATACAACATTTTTCCAAATACTTACTCTAGATTTCTTCAGAAGCAATCTAAGGCAAAGTATTTCAGTCCCTTCGGTATCACACAGGCACACTGAGAGAGAAAGAGGGAGGGCACACAGTTATTAATAATCACTGATCTTGCTAATTTAGAACTTCCCTGGACTAAGCTTTTATTATTTTTATGGTTGTATTTGTAGAGCTCTAATAATTAGCCATTCAGACTTGATCATTATTTGACAGTCATTCAGCCTTTCAAACTTTCAGCCTTTGTCCTTGTGAACCAAGGTAGAGGTTTTGCCCTATTCAGTTACTGATTGGCATCTTAGCTTGGAAGTAGCCTTGACAGTCAGTATCCTATCATTAGAGCTGTTTGAATAGACCCATTGATTCATTAGGGCTTATACTGTATAATGTTAGCTTACTATTCAGCAGTTAATCCAATGGAGATGCTCTAGCTGGAGCTAGTAATCGGATACTAACCTTAGAAATATATGTGGCAGTGGCTATAAATATACTGCATGTTGTTTTGCTTTCTCTTCCCCACTTCCATTTAATATGTACTCCAACTTAACCTCTGTCCCAGCACATACTATCATAGGGGCCGGGTAGGAGCAGGACAGTACAGTATATAACATTATGAGTGCAAAACATGGTTGAGTAGCAGAACATCAAAGAGTTGTCACATTCACACCCCAAGCCAGCAATTACTAAAGTGCCGCTGTTTGTGATATGGGTAAGTTGCACCAGACATCAAGGGAGAGATGCATGGAAATAAACATACATCTGATAGAGTAGTTTTTGGTCTTGGTTTACTGCAGATTAAACTCACAACTAGAAGTGTTGTTTTATCCAATTAATTGAATAGACTTGGTTGATACATTGGAAAGAAGATTTCTATCTCCTGCCATATACAGTGTTAACTTCTGCTAGAGGAGTATGGAGGCTGGAGCCTTATGGAAATTAATAGTTTATGATGCATCTACGGCCAGGCTCCATTGCCAACATTCTGTGAATGGATTTCTATCTCCTGCCATATACAGTGTTAACTTCTGTGCACTTTGCTAGAGGAGTATGGAGGCTGGAACCTTATGGAAATTAATAGTTTATGATGCATCTACGGCCAGGCTCCATTGCCAACATTCTGTGAATGCATCCACCTTGATCGAGAGAATATGAGTGTGACTTTTTCGGGTGGCTGTTTGAGCAGTTGTTCCTAAAAGCGAACCTCCATGTTTGGTAGTTTTACTTCTAGCCATTGCTTCTAGGGATGGAGTTAGTTGTTAGCTTTGATCATTGCAAGCTTAAATGCATTTAGTTGTAAGTGGGCTTGTAGCTCTCAATTTTGGAAGTTTGCTTCTCAGTAGGACCAATGAAGGAAGTACTTGTGGTATAAAGTAGATGTTTCTCTGATATTATAGGTGCATCAATGTAGCGAGTTGCTAGGGCTTCATTGCAAAAGGTTTGGAGCAGTTATTTAATCGTTTCCTCCTTAATGTAAATTTTTTGTAAGAAAAAATACAAGATCTCCTAAGAAAGATACATTAAGGTTGTAAATAGAAGACATAGATAGCTTGGATCCCTTCTACAATTCCATCTTTGATTCAGGGTGATTCTGTAATAAAAGTCTTATTTAGAGGCAGCCTGTGTTTTGAATGAGACAGACTAGAAGTCCAGTTTGCTATGAAATTGGCGGTTGAAAATATCTGTTCTGACTCAAGCAGGATAACCATTTAAACTAAAGGATAAGTGAAATCCCCTTGTTTTCCTGCTAGGGCTATGCATGTGGCTCATGATCCTTTTTAGTGAATCGGGTCTGTTTTCAAAAAAGTTATTGACAATGATCAGCATCTAAACGGGATAGAGAACTGCATCTGGTATGGTTGCCTGAGGCTAGGACAATTAAACAAACACATGTGGAGTTGCTACCTCCTTTTCAAGCAGCAGGACACCATAAGGGTTCATAAACATTGACCCCAGAGAAAACATGTTGTGAAATATTCTCTTCTTACTTTGGCCAAAGTAGTTGGCCTCCTAGCAGAATTTTGAATGCTGGCTTGGAGGCAGGAGTTCGTTAGTTCAGTTTGGATGTTACAGGGAGGTGCTTTCAAACAGTGCAGATGTTACAGGGAGGTGCTTTTATTTACATTAAGGTCTGAAGAGAACCTTGTTTCATTCTGACTTTTCATTTTAGAGGCATAATGTCTCATTATCATAGGCTGGTACTGTTGGAAAGTTAAAATGAGTGTGTGGAGGGAAATTGATTTCCCTGATGGAATAGATGGTGCTAAATGATAATACATCCGCTCATTGCCTGGAGGAGAAATTGGGATTTTCAATTTCTAGGTATTCACAGGCATTGACATCACATTTCTAGGAGCTTGAATAGTCAAGTGTTGGGGCTTTTTTGTGTCTGCATTTAAAAAGAAAAAAAATCATAAAAATGTTTCCAGACTAAAGGGGAGTAAGTGCATGCACTTTTGGTAAACCAAGGAAGCCTAATGTTAATCTTAGTGTCTCTATATGTGACATCTTATATTTATAGCTTGCAGTATTGTTGTAATTAGTACCGCTGAGAAGCAGTATCCTGAGAACATTATAAGCCCAAACATACCCCCTATATTTGAGTTCTTGAAAGCTGATTCAGAAAACCTTCACCCATGACTTTCTCCTTTAATTGCAAGCTGAAAAGCTTTGCACCTTGGATGATGACATATTATCCAGTTCACACTGAGTTTGTAAAGGCTCCTGTAGCAGCCATGAACTATTCACATGGTCATTTGTCCCTGTAAATTAATTTTCCAAGAAAAGTCTAACTGGAAGAGAGTTTATTCTGATTAATGAGTAACCATATTTAGTTTTACCATTATGTATGATAAGCTAGGGGATGTGGTGGTGCTGTGGTTAAACTGCAGAAACTTTTGTGCTGCAAAGTCAGAAGACTGGCAGTCGTAAGATCAAATCCATGTGATGGAGGGAGCTCCCGTCGCTTGTCCCAGCTCCTGCCAACCTAGCAGTTCGAAAGAATGTAAAAATGCGAGTAGATAAATAGGCACCACCACGATGGGAAGGTAACAGCATTCCATGTCTAGTCACTCTGGCCGTGTGACCACGGAAACTGTCCTTGGACAAATGCTGATTCTATGGCTTGGAAATGGAGATGAACGCCGTGCCATAGAGACAGGCACAACTGGACTGATATGTCAAGGGGAACCTTTACCTATGATAAGATAAGAGAAGATATTTCTCTGTGCTGTTGTTAGTTAACCCAATTAAGCGGTATTAAATGAAAAAGGTTTTAAGTCAAGGAGTTTGGTTTAACACCTATTTCTGGCTATAATTCATCATTTATCTTTTTGGAATGTCTTTTGGAGAAGAAATTGAATGACGTATTATTCAAAGCTGCATTTTTATAAACCATGAATCTATCTCTATCTCTACCTCTAAACTTTTGTAACGTTTAAAATAACAATTTTAAATAACAAAAATGACACTTTTTGTAACTATAACAGTTATGAAACTGATGGTTGGAGCATTTGTTTGGGTAGTATAATAGTTCGCTGATGAACCACCCCATACAACGAGACTTATTTATTTCTGTAGTAGTCTTATTTATAGGCTGCTTTTCTCCCAACAAGAGGACGCAAGTCAGTTCACAGTACTTAAATTAAAAACATAAGATATATGTGTGGTTCGCTGATGAACCACCTCATACAACGAGACTTATTTATTTCTATAGTAGTCTTATTTATAGGCTGCCTTTCTCCCAACAAGAGGACGCAAGTCAGTTCACAGTACTTAAATTAAAAACATAAGATATATGTTGAAAACAATTAAGTATAAAACTGATTACATGTAATTGAATAATTTAAAACAGGTAAGACATTAAAAGCTATCTTAACTTCAAAAATAGCATCCAGGGACTCAGTTATGATTGTTGAAAGGTTTGCCTGAAAAGGTGGGTCTTCAGCTATCAGTGGAAAGATAAAAGGACTTAAGGAGGGACTTACAGAGCAAACCTGTGCTTGTTTATTGGGAAGTAAATCCCACTGTGGTCAATAACACTTAGTCCTAGGAAAGTATGTGTAAGATAATTGCCTCAAATAGCCTAATTATTTTCATTAATACCAAAGTCAGGTGGTGAATTCTGATGGGATTGAAGCCAAATAGGTCCAATAAGAAGAATAAAGAAGACACCAGCACACGAGTACTTGCATCTTCAGATAGACTGCTGGAACATCTAGACAAGATAATCTTTCAGACAGGAATTCATTCACCTACAAAACCCCTCCTATCTTGCCAAGAACCAGTTTAGGATTATTAGTCTTCTCCCAAGCCCCCTTCTGCATCCAGGCACTAATCCACAATCTGCGTAATTCCACTTGCTTCAGATGTGACGCAAAAACAAGAGTTAGGTGCCATCAATGTGCTGACAACACTCTGCTTTGTATCTCTTGATGACCACTCTAGTGGCTTCATGTAGATATTAAACTATGAGGATACGATAGGATGGTATCCTGAGGCATCTGGTAGCACAAATGCCACCTTCTGAAACCTACTGTTCAATAAGAGCAGCATCACTGGTGTTTAATGCTCCCGGCACCCGACCTACTGAACCAATCTAAGGAGGATTTCAAGGTCAGAGGTCTCAAGAGCCATTGAGAAATCAAGCAAGATTGTACTCTCCCAATTATTTATTGACACAGAGGATAAATAAGGCTGATTGAGTCCCAGATGTAGGCCTCAAGCCTGTATTGAAGTGTGCTTGCGATCACCAGTACCATCCAAAAGTGTCTGCATTTGTAGCATCAAAATTCTCTTAAGGATCTTTTCCCAGAAGATTACGTATGTAATCAGACAGCAGTTATCAACAACCCGGGGATCTGGAGGGGAGTTACTTAAGAATGGTTGCACCATAGCCTCTTCCAGGGCAGCAGGCAGCACTCCTACACATCAAGAAACATGCCCCACAGGCTGGACTCACCAAGACAAACCTCCTAGGCATGGTTTCATCCCCGCAAGAGGCAAGGATAAAGTGAGCCCATGGCAGGTCCATTGTTGCAAGGACTGTGTCTTCAGTCTCCATGGAACCAAGTCCAAACATTAGGGCTAGAGGTGATCTTGAACCATTTAGTTTGCCCTGCCACAAAGACTGTGCCAAGGTCACAGCCGCAATGAGATGCCTTGGGCTCTGAAAGTTCCCGACCCCCATTTACCAGTAGGTGTTAATAATAATGCTTGACCATTCAGAAGAGCTCTTCTGGACGGCTGTATGAAGATGCAATCGACACAGCAAAACAAGCCTCCTCTTGCTGTCCTCACTGCCACATAACAGGCACAATTACATGCTGCAACATGTGTTTGGTCAGCTTCACCGTGAGCCTCGTGCCACTCCCATTCCAGTCATCTTCCAACTTGTTTCGCTGCCTTTGTCTGTATACATCTTAGGTCCTCTTGGCATTTGTACAGAGTAGGAGCGTTAGCTCTGTGACGATAGAGGCCAGCCAATTGCATCTGCCTTGTGGACTACCTAAATATTGCACACTACTGTGTGTATTGTGTCACTTGTGGTGTTTATTTGTTTCATGCTTGTTTTAATAAATGCTTTTGTTATTGTTATAACCAGTTTGAAATATTTTATCCTAAGCATACTTACTTAAATAAGTAACATAACAAAGCTGTATATATACATACAGTGGCAAGGAAAATAGTTTTACTGGTGGGGGAGTCCAGCATTAGAGCACTTCATGATGATTCTGTATTAAGAATGGTTGATTCTTATGCCTTGGAAGTTGGGGATATAAAAAGTGGATAAGAGCACTTATATGTTGCATCTTAATTTTTTTCCAGAAACATCCATTTTAAGAAATGTGCTGCAATGCCTCACTTGTCTTTGTCTGTCTTTAAAACTGGAAAAGAAATGCATTATGGGTAAGTTAATCTGCTTCCATTTTATTACAGAAAGGGAAACAAAAGATTTGTAGAAGATTGACAGCATGGCAATGAGGGATGTATAGTATGTCACCGAACTAAATTCCTTGAGACCCAAAATGTGATTAGAATGTAAAAATCTACTAAGATGTAACATACTAATATATTCTTCCTGCAAGAATGTTGGTTTTTATGTTCATTAGTCAAATCTGACAAGGTTTATAGGCTCATTGCATTGGAACAAGCCTTGAGATAGAGAACTAGCTGAATGTTTTGCATTTCAACTGCTGTGTAGCTGTGTAAGTCTGGAACAGCCTTTGGAGGACCACACTTAGGAAAACAACTGAAATTAAGCCTGACAGCTTTGAAGATGGGCGGCAATGTAGGGCAGCATGGGGGGGGGAACCCTGGTTTGTGCTTTAGTATGAATGGATGCTCTTAATACTGGCCCTAGGCAATTGTTAAGTGTTCATTCATTCATTCATTCATTCAATCTTTATTACGGTCATTGACCTAAGTGTAATGTCATTAAGGTAACAGTTGAGTTCCAGCATTTTTGTAGTTTGATCACTAGGCGGCACTGCTTAACAAGATATGATGTTAGTAAACTGTTTTGTACCTTGTGGCAATGGAAATTCTCATTTTGGGAAGTCAAGGGGAAATCTGCAGAGGCACTTTATGTGAGCAGGCTTTTAAATGTAAAATAGCTTTATTTCCCATATATAAATATTTACTTTTTTTCAAGGAGATGTTAAATTTTGAACAGCATTGGAAGAGGTTAGGGAAATAGCTCGTGTTCTTTTGAAAAAATCTTATTGGCATTGGGCATTGCATCAGAAATATTTCCAGTTGTCCAGGAAGATTGAGTCTTAGATATTGCATATTTTCATCATGCTGCTTTGTTGAACCAGAAAGCAATGTCTGACCTATGCAAGATCATCTGTTTTTCAGTTCTCCTTGAAGTCGCTGCCCTATAATTTTTTTAAAAAGTGCTTAGGGTGACCTACTAGGGTTAACTTACAACAGCACATAGAGATATCTTCTCATAGCTTATAGGTGTAAAGGTTCCCCTTGACATTTAGTCCACTTGTGTCCGATTCTAGGGTGCGGTGCTCATCCTCATTTCCAAGCCGTAGAGCCAGTGTTTGTCCGAAGATAGTTTCCGTGGTCACATGGCCAGCGCGACTAGACACGGAACGCTGTTACCTTCCCACCGTGGTGGTACCTATTTATCTACTTGCATTTTCATATTTTCGAACTGCTAGGTTGGCAGGAGCTGGGACAAGCGATGGGAGTTCCCTGCATTGCGTGGATTCAAACTCCTGATCTTACGATCTTACAGCCCAGAGGCTTTGTGGTTTAACCCGCGGCGCCACCACGTCCCATCTAACCCAGTGGTTACTCTGGGCAGTTAACAATGAATGAAAAAATAACAGAAAACAAGAACATAACAGTGCCAGCATAAAGTAAATAACAAATTAATTCGAAAAACCAATCAAGACATTTAAATCATGCAAACCATTATTAAAAGATTTAAAGAGGTGGCAACTAAGTGAAAGGCTAGTGCACTCAGATCTTAATTTGGCACATTTTGAAAGGCTTGACAAAACAAGAATGTTACAAAGAGTTTTTTTTAAGACATCAGGGAGGGAGCAAGGCGGGCAAGGCGGTTTTCAGATGATTTGTCATTCCAGAGGCAGGGTGTGACTGCAGAGAAGTCCTCTTTCCAGGCCTCCCTTGGGATCAGCACCCTCAGCCAACCAGCCTGCGTAGTGTGTGTAGGACGGACAGTCCCAGTTGGGAGTAGGCGCTCTGTCATGTACTGAGGGTCCAGAATGTTTAGGGCTTTACAGCTCGGTACCATCACCTTAAAGGTGATGCAGAAACACAAATCTACAGTGGTAGTGGAAAAAACTTCCCACTAATTGTGCTATAGATTTTTTTTATCATAGTCTCCAATTAACTCCTGCTTTTGGAAGTTGCCCAGAACTCCTGTTCATAAAACTCAGTTACCTGACAGGAGGGCCTGGCGTGCTCTGATTCGTGGTGTCACGAAGAGTAATACATAATGACTAAACAACAACAACAACATTAAGAATCATTCATGGCATATGCAGTCTCCATTTGTTTGGAGAGACTATCCAACCTATTTCATGTCAGGGTTCTGGAGCTGAAACCTTCTTTTGAAACGGGCAAGGCGGTTTTCAGATGATTTGTCATTCCAGAGGCAGGGTGTGACTGCAGAGAAGTCCTCTTTCCAGGCCTCCCTTGGGATCAGCACCCTCAGCCAACCAGCCTGCGTAGTGTGTGTAGGACGGACAGTCCCAGTTGGGAGTAGGCGCTCTGTCATGTACTGAGGGTCCAGAATGTTTAGGGCTTTACAGCTCGGTACCATCACCTTAAAGGTGATGCAGAAACACAAATCTACAGTGGTAGTGGAAAAAACTTCCCACTAATTGTGCTATAGATTTTTTTTATCATAGTCTCCAATTAACTCCTGCTTTTGGAAGTTGCCCAGAACTCCTGTTCATAAAACTCAGTTACCTGACAGGAGGGCCTGGCGTGCTCTGATTCGTGGTGTCACGAAGAGTAATACATAATGACTAAACAACAACAACAACATTAGAAACGAATCAGGCTCATTAATATCTTTAATACCATGGAATAGCTTGTCCTTATGGAATGCTCCTCTGCCCCGCCAGCTACCTATGACTGACTCCCTACAAGACTGTCTTTAAGCAGGTCTTAAAGAGCTTGATGTTTCTGTTTGCTTTTAGTTGATCCTTGTCTATATTCCATATTTTTCATTTTATGGTTTTAGTTGTGACTGAAATTTTAATTTGTATTGCAATAGCATTCAATACTGCAAAAAAAAAATTCTGGTAGGGAGGCCATATTATTCTGTATTCCACTCCATACAGCTAGAGGTGGTGCCATACACAGCAGAAATTTCTAAGCTGGTAGCCCTGTCTTAAAGAATGAACCATTTTTATACAATGTTCTGGAATCTACTTCATTAAGTGTATGTCTTTGGTGTTCAATATGACCATTTCTCTGTTGACTGAAACACAGTTCTCAATTTACACTACAGAGAACTATAACAGGTTGCTGAAAATGTTTGCCTCGATTCTTAAGAATACAGTAGAATACTTTTAATATTCTTCACCTCAAAGAATTCTCTTCTGAAAGGGACTATTTCAGCATCATTGTTCAGAATCCCACTAATTGCACCATTTAAGAAGCACCCTTTAAAAGTGTATATTTTTAAATCATTATTTAATCATTCATGGCAAATGCAGTATTACCATTTGTTTGGAGAGAGTATCCAACCTATTTCATGTCAAGGTTCTGGAGCTGAAACCTTCTTTTGAAACAATCTGCTGAGTTTCAGGGAAAATTATATTGGTTCTTTTTCAACTGGTATACTCGTTAAGGCTTTAGTGATGCTTCCTTATATCATTTCCTTGGCTTACTTTTATCACTAAAAAGCCAGAACTGGAGCTGGATTAGGTACAAGGTCACATATGGAATTTTCTTTTACTTTCATGAGAGCATTATTTGCATCCTTACACACCAAAAATGCAGTCAGGAGGCGGACAGAGGAGAGTCAAGGGAGCACTTAAGGGGCCTGATATGAAAGCCATATTTTTAAGTTCTCCCAATTCACTAGCTCACTTGCAAGAGCTGTCTCATATATAGAGATAAATGTAATAAAAGTCCTCAATATATTTGTTTTCATCAGTTCTTACATTCCATTATATCTCTGCTGATGCCTTCAACTTCTTCAACCTGGTCACACCAAGTCATCTGAAGGTCTCCTGCTTTCTCGGTCTACTCTGCTGTTTCTCCCTTGCTGCCCTTTATGCCTGAAACAGCCTGCTAAAATGTATGCATGAGGTCATATCTTTCCTTAACATCCACATTTTCCATGAATTCTTTGGCATAGCTTTCTAACTCCATGTTCTCCTGTAAGGAATGTGCCTAACTTTCCATTTGTCCAAGTACCAGTTCCCTTCTCATTCTCTGTTACCTCTCTTGTGCTGAATTTTAGTTCTCTATTTCAAAATTTGTATACTGACTTTCAGCATTAGTTTTCAGGGCAGTATAGAAAGTGCAAATATGTATTAAATGGGATGGGGGGGAGAGAAGTAGGTTATAAATTCCCCAGGAAAGGAGGTTGCCATTTTATATTTTCTACTGGTAGTGGCATAAATATGGAGTAGAAATCCAGGTCACAAGTATACCAGTGATGTATATATTAATTGTGTCAATCTAAATAAAAATAGGGTGAGGAAATAGTATGAAAAAGAAGTTTTGCCAAGGCACAGACACTTGAGTTTTTTAAACAGTTTTTTATTCACATGGCAAAACGAATATTTACATGCTGTGTAAATTTTGAAAGTTTAGAAATGGTATGGTCTTGTCGTCATGCATTTGATATCCAAATGGCAGGTGTTCAGATTTTTAGCCCAGAGTCATTGTATACCGTAGCATTATTTGGGAGATTGACACTGGGGAAAAGCTGTAGACAGCTTACAATTAAAGCAACTGAATAGATAGTTATTGAGTGTCCAATAGAAAATATAATCCCATGCACAGTATTCCAATAGTACCACCTTCATAAATGTTGGAGGGAGAACAAAAGGTGGATGGAAAGGATGGAACGTGATGGAGCAGCGTGCAGGCATTTGAAAGGGTGGTATGGAACAGGACAGGAAAAACAGTGATGCATAGTAAGGATGCTAGAGGAGATCGGCATTAACTGTAGCAATGGATCAAAAAGGCGCTTTTGCGTCTAATTGAAGTTAGAGACTGAGGGCCAGAGGTAAGTCACTCCCCCCCCCGGGACATGGATGGCTATTCTATTTAGAGAGGCAAGAGAAAGTCTGGGGATGGATGGGGTGTGGAAAATAGAACATTGCAGACTTAGAAATGTTTCTTTCCCTGTCTTTATGCAAAAATATACAGAAGGTATAAAGGGAAATGAAGATGGAATTAAAAATGCCACACTAACCTGTAGCACAGAGAATGATTGAAAACTGATTCTCATGACGTTTGTGTTTCTGCATGATAATCAGTATACTGTTATTTTAGGTGACCAGGTACATATGAAAAGGAACAGTCTTGTTACTAACTTTTATGGTATGACAGAACTAGTTTGGCAGGACTAAGATGATTTCTGGTTTTTTGTAGGGAAGCTAGGTTACTTCATCCTCCTTTTTTCATGATAAAGGTTCTATAAACAAGTGTCTTCCATCTTAACAGTAGATCCCTAGGAAAGAGAAGTACTTGATCTCTCTCTGCCCTTTTGCTTCAAGGAAACAAAGATAACCACATTAACTGTAGCCAGTTCAATATGAAAAAACACTTGTAAGCCATTAGAAAATATATTTTATCATCTTGGTTGCCTTTTTATTTGTGGACTTCTGGCATATTAGGCATGAGTTGTCATTAATTAATTAATTGACTGTTGTCAGTGGCTAGAGTCTAAATGGATTTATGAACAGATGCTATTGGCTTCCCAACTGCAACAGCTGTGGCAAATGTGAGACATCTCTGGCATTTCACAGAACTGAGACTGTTGTTGCAACATGGCCATTAATGGTGAGCATCTTAATCTGCACAGCCAAAAAACAGTGAGATGCTATATCATTATGCAGAGTGTTGTTCAAGAGTTTGGATCGAGATAGGCTTCCAGTTGGTTGAAACAGCTGTCCCAAGAAAATCTATACATACTTGATGTGTTAAAATTATCTCTTGTCCAACTGTGAGTGCTCATTGCTGAAGATAATTTGTGGTGTGAAACAAAATTTAGGCATGGGGAGGAATAAAAGCTTGCTAAAGGATGACCCAGATAAATTTCGTCCCTGTCTTCCGGAAATCTAGTGATTAGTAAAGGATGTTAACAATCTGAGTGTTCAGCTAGCAGGGCCTTTCTTGAAAAGAGTGTCTTTTGTGGAATGTATAACTTCTATAAGACGAAGAAGGTTCAAACAGCCAACATTACATGGTTATTTGTGCACACTAGATTTGTAATAAGTGGAATATATTTTAGTTTGTGAGCAGTTTGTGCTAAATATCATTCTTCAAACGTTTTTTTCCCTGTATCATCATCCCCAAATGCAGACAATGTTCTGAAATCAGTAAACACTGAAAATGCAAAGTAATTTAAATATCACAATGCCTGCTTAAAATGAGCCATCATACAAAAACGCAATATGTTGTTTGCAGAAAATGACCAAGCATTTTGCAACAACAAAGGAGAAGCCACAATGATGGAAAAGGCCTCCTTCCATGAACAGATGAAGGTAAAAGAATTTGCTCAGCCAAATCTGAGGAATACAATGAGAAGCTGGTGGCCTCTAAATTAAGCGGTGTATCATTTTATTGGTCAATATAGCTTTAAGTCCAGCATGCATTGGCAATAAAGCATGGCTTTTTGGCAAACTTTGCAAATTATTTTCTTCATCTCTCCTCAGTAATGATTTTGTTGTTCCCTACTGGTAGCCTCTCTTCAATCATTCAGAGTCTTCCGTGAACCTGTTTCTCATAAACGCTTTTTGCCTTGCAGCGATTCTCTATTCATCCTGTTGCGTCACCAGTGGTGGCTGAGCTGAATTTTCCTGCATCCTAAAGAGAGTATGTATAAAAGGAATGGCCTCATGGCCAACGTGACAGTGACCTCCGCCACTCCAGAGGTACCCTTTTTGTCTTTGCTTTTATTGCTCCAACAGCAAACAGACATTTTGGCATTGCTGTTGTGATTGTTTTTTCATCCACACACACTATTTAGTAAGTAGGATAATCCTTAACAGTTCCCACTTTTCTGGAAAATAGACTCTGGATGTCCACAACTCTTTCAAAAATACTTTAGAGACAAGACAGACAGACCCAAATGTTCATATACAGTACCCTCAAAGATGTATACATGTAGCTGCACCTCGGGCTTCATTTGGTGGAGCCAAATTATGCCAGTGACCACTTCTAGGGCACTGTCTGCCGAACTTGATGGGATAAATACAATGGCTAGAATCTTACTGAGTTGCTACTGAACAGAAGGTCTTGCCTGCATTGTATGATGGGATCATGTTGCTTGCATAAAGAATGGTTTCTGTGAAGAAAACCTGCCCTTTGCTTGCCAGTAGAAAAGCTTGCAGAGGTAGGCATGATCCTGCATTCTACACTAAAAGTGAATATTATATGAGCTCTCTTCCTAAATGGATTCCTCTAGAAAAGAAGTGCTCTTCTTATCTGTTTCTATCAAAAAAAGAGAGAGGCCTCCTAAAGCTCTTTCACACTCCTCCATGGAAGGCATTGCGAGTGAAATCTCAACCATGCCGCTGAGCTTATCAGGAAGTTCCAGAATAGCTTATATGTTCAACATATATGAAAGACCTTGCACAATGATGCCATAGGAACCTGTAGGCATCAAAGATTAGTCTTTAGGTCATTGTTGGTTAGTGATGAGACTGATTTCACACCTAGAAGCAATGTGCCTTTAACCTTGTTAGATAAAACAGGTGCTTTATTTATTTTTATTTTTTCGTAACTTGGGAGACAGCATTGTTTTGTTTGCAAGTCTTAGGTCTCAGGCACACAGCACTGAAATATTCCTTTCCCTTGAGCTATAACATTCTAAGAAGCTTTTGCCTTGACATGTGATCTATTAGGAGCACACGTCAATGAGTTATTAAAAAGAGGCTTCCCCTGAAAAAATTGAAGATTGGATGGAAATGATGTTCTTAGTTACATAATACTAAAAGAACTAAAAACAAAACAAAACCTGGAGACAGAATTGTAGAGTTCCTCTAGGAAACAGGCTCAGTGGAACAGTAAATCTGGTGTAATTTGAATCCCTGTTCTTTTTGTGCATGGTTATAAGGGCCACTGCCCATGCTGCTTTGAAACTGAGTGGGATGCAAATTTCAAAAGCAAAAACATTAATAAATAAATGCTGTTGATTAGTCTGTTTATCAGCCTATATTTTTTGTTATTCTGGCATAAAATGTGGGAGTGCTTTGATTTTTTAAAAAAAAGAATTAACATGGTTTTTGGTGTATGGCAATGTTCTTTGTGTTCTATATAATTTTAGGAAGTCTTGTTATAGATTCAGATGCCATGTTGTCTTAACCTCTTATTCTCTCCTGTAAAGAAAATACTATGCAGGGGCCCCATGATCACATGGTGTCAAGTCCTACAGGCCAGGACGTAATTTAGGAAAATCTACTGCTACTTTTACGTACTAGTTTACAGCTCTTAGTATTTTGCAGGTGGAAATAATTTACTTTTCATATTTTCTCAGGCTAACAGAGTAATCATATTCATGTTTACTCAGAAGTAAGTTCTACTATATTTAATAGTGCTCACGTACAACCAAGTGTGCATCCAATTACAGTTTTAAGTAATTTTCTGCCTATTCAGCAGGAATACAGCTATACAGGTGAAATTTGGATAGTGAGTTTGGTTTAGCGGTCCAGCCCCATTCATATGGGTGTTGAAAAATAAAGTCACTCTACTGGAAACGTTAGAAATAGGTATGAAATCAAGACTGGCAGCCTTGTGGTCAGGATTTCAACCATGACTCAAAATTGCAAGAAAACTCCTCACCTGCTTTCTTTGGCATTTTACATAATCACTGTATTGAGAAGTTACAGTAAATCTGTAATGCCCGGCTTGCAGAAACTAGCATGCTGACTTTTGAGAAACGTTGCCTTCATGACTAAGTCTCTTAAGTTCAGATTCAGCAGATCTAAGGTGCAATTTTTATTTTTGCCTGTATCGTCACCCCCACCCCAGTGTGGTTTGAATGGCTCACCGTAAATAATAAACATACCAGGAATCTGAAGGAAAAGCTCAAACTGTGAAGGCTTTCCTCTTTAGTATGACAGAGAATGAGCTGTGTCATTTCCAGTATTTATTTGATTTTCTAAACTTGGTTCTCACAAGAGCTTCAGCTATTTACAGAATAGTCATAAGCATATTAATTTGATGTGCTTCTTACATAGTAAGATTTCAGCCTTAGATTTCTGAACTGAGTCCAGCGGTTAAAGGGTTTTGATACCTTCTTCTAGCCTAACATCCCTTCTACTGCCTTTGCCAATAATCAGTCACTATTGCCCATCTGGTTACGTTTCCCCTCTCCTGTCATTATAATGATGAAGCAGGTTTCTCTCCCATCCCTTTCAGACCCTCTAGCTCTAAAACAAATATAGTGCCATGGAAACACTATTGTGTAGGAAAAATAATAGAGGAGGGGCAGCAGTGTTATCACTCCTGTGCTTCTTAATTTAAAGGATAAGAATGGGCAGGTTGGATAGCGTCCTCATATGCCTTTGTTGCAACTGGAGAAAAGTGTGGCAACAATTAGCAGTGGAAGTGGGTAGGATCTTTTACTCTTCTGCTCATCTATTCAAAGAAGAAGACGAACTGTTAACGAACTTCTATTATAACAGCTTATATGGGTGGTATAGCCTAAACTTTAAAGTGGAAAAATATCCATATATTTCTTCTTGTATTTGCCGATATCAGCACTGTGTTCCACATAAGAAGAACTAGCTTGAAAATCCTCTGTCTTTGTTGTCGTCGCTGTTTTTGAACAGCAGAATCAGTAAAAATTAAGATAATTTTTAGGCTTACCTTTGCCTTTTAAAATTTATAAATGTCACCTTTAGCTGATGCATTTTTTGTTTCCAAACAAATTCATTTCCCTCTCTTTCCATAGGGCAGTAGCAGTTCTGACTCTCTGGAAGGACGGAGTTCAGATTATGCCCATAAAAGCTATGATGCAGTTGTCTTTGATGTGTTGAAAGTGACACCAGAGGAATTTGCAGTAAGTAGCATTGCTGGTTTTAAATTTGTGTTGGATAATAGTAGTATGATTACAAATATAGTTCTCAATCATATTCCTGTAATAAATTGGCTTTCAACAAGTTTTATGAGGGCTTTTTGTGATTGTACATCAATAAATTAATTCCCAGTGTAGAGTTGCTGGGCAACTGCTGTCTGGTTCAATAGAGCTTGCTCCTCTATCCTGTGTTCCAGCTGCAGCACTATATTCCAGGCATGCAAATTAAAATGCAGTTATAGAAACCCATAGGAATTTGGTAGAGGGGTACCTCACCCTTTTACTGAAGAAATGTCAGCAGTGTGCCATCCTTGGCTGCCCTTTCCTTTTTTTATCCATTAAAGCAATTTTTATAAAGCCATAAAGGCAGGTTAGAAAGATCTTGAAGGTCACGGTCTTACCACCTGGAGCGTGGGTAACATTTTAGTCTTTTGCCTCAACTGTAAATACCTTGGACAAGCTCAAGTGTCTGTAAATTTACAACTGTTTTTCTTTAACTTTTGTTACAGAGTCAGATTACATTGATGGACGTGCCAGTATTTAAAGCTATACAGCCAGAGGTATGTACCATTAACTGTTGTTACCTGTAATACATGTTGGGGGGGAAAGAATGGCCAGTTGGGGAGCCATGAGTACAGTGATGCCTCGCTTAATGAGGATAATCCGTTCCAGCGAAATCGCTGTAGAGTGAAATCCTCGTTAAGCGAAATAAAAAATCCCATTGAAACACATTGGAAACCTGTTCAATGTGTTCCAATGGGCTGAATAACTCACTGTCCAGCGTAGATCCTCCATAGGGGCGGCCATTTTCGGTGCCTGTAAAATAAGGAATCCGTCCAAAAACACAGCAGGGAGCCATTTTACACAGCGGGCAGCCATTTTGAAGCCACCAATCAGCTGTTTTAAAAACATCGTCTAGCGAAAAATCGGTTCCTGAAGCAGGGAACCAATCGCTGGGAAGCGAATTTTGCCTATTAAAACATCGTTTAGCGGTTTCGTCGTTTAACAAGGCAATTGTTAAGCGAGGCACCACTGTATTTCAAGAGAAAGGTGCTGTTATTACTGCACGCCACACTCTGTAGCTCGCGTTGCGGATCAGGATGCCTGCATCAAAAATGGTAGTTTTCACAGAAGCAGCTGTGCTAGTCTATTTAAGTATATCCAGACAAAACAAAAAACAAAACATGAAAAATGAAACATTGAGGCACCTGAAATACTAAGTGACTGTTACGTTTAAATGTGAACTTTCATGGATACATTGACTCCTTCAGAACATTTCAAAGCTCACATTGAAATACTGTATAACAGAGTATAAAGTGCCATACCATTTTTTTTTGCTTTTTTTATATATATATATATGAATATGTGTCACAGTGGTCATTTTACCATCTGAGGAAAGTGTGTTTCCTATTATTGTTGTGGATGACGACATTTGCTGTCTCTGTCTGTTTTTGTAGCTACAACTGCAATAACTGATTTATCCATTCTCATTGATGCAAGATTCCATCAAAACAGATGGTCTTCCCCATCTATGAAATGTGTTCTCATTTTCTTCGTGACGTCTAAAATAAACTGGAATGCAACCAGCACAGCCCTCAGGCCTCTTCCTAGCTACCCCATATGTTGAGAGGTCAAGGTACCTGTGAATGTTTAGACCAAACAGATCACTTGCAGTTGCACATCTTTTCATAAGGCAAAGATGGGAAATGCAAGAGAAACTTGGTCCCCCAAAAGAGAAGGAGAATAGAGAGCCTCAGCTTCCTTTATTTTTTATCACTTCCTGGAAGGAAAAAAGTCGGCAGGAAGGGGAAGATGAAGGCTAGAGCTGCAAATGCAAGCAGTACATTTTTTTCTGTTCATGTTGTCAAACATGGACAAAGGGAGTGTTTATTTTGGTATCACTGTAGCGTACTCTTACTTAAAACGCCAACATTTTTGGCTTAAAGCTCTCTGTTTTTCAGCAAATGGCTCCAGGGGCAAAACTCCACTTCTTTCAGGATGAGGACAGAGTGTAACTTTCCATGGTAAAATGGTGCTGGGTGGAAGTCACCCTTTCCTGCCATTCCACAGTTTCATTCAGAGGAAAAGGGAATCCAAATTACAGAGGGAAAAGCTCTCCTGGTAGACGCCTGCAGAGGCCCAGACCGTCTGACCACTCAAAGAATTGCAGTTCCGACCAAGCAAGTTGTCCTTTTTTTTAGGAGTTAAAATAATGAAAGCACAAGCCTTCTGTAGGAAGCCATGTAGATCCTGAGTTAAAGGTTGGCAGACAGCAAGGAAAACATGAAGGTCTTGGAATGTTGTAATCTATAGCTGTCCTACTCCCTGATGTATATGTGGAGTGACTAATTTTGTCAGATGTCTACTGAATGCCGTCAGAGCTCCAATATATAATTGCTTACATCTGTACACAGAGCAAGTGTGAGGTGGGCCAGTGAGACTGTCGCTGACGACATTGCTAACACCATTCTCCCCCCCCCTGCCTCTTTTAATGTGCTGAAGTTGAATGAAGTTCCATTGATACACAAGGAGGATGCCAGCAATTGAAGGAGGGACTTTCGGCATTTTTAACACGTGAACAATCCTCAGTGCTGTCTCCCCTCTCCTCCCCTTTTTACTTGTAGCTGTATAACTAATAAATACTTGCATGTTAAAATATGGGGAAAGAGGAAAAAAGCATATATGTCATACATGACACTTCCAAGTTGTAGTTAAAATTGAGATTAGTATTGCCCTCCCTGCCTTAATTCCTTTTGCTCGTCAGTTGCTTTCAGTGAGGCAGGTTCGATCAGGGACTTCGTGAATCAATGCTCTCTGGACATGTCGGGGCAGAACGTAAAATCCCAACCTCTTGGCACCCAAACCTGTTTATTCAGGCCCGGAGATGAAAACATCATCACTCTGATCTTAGCTTTCTCTTTTTCAAATTATCACGGCGAATGAAACGTACAACATACAAGTGCAGGAGGGCATGAACTTGGATTCTGAGAAATTGGAGCCACAATCCATCCATGACTTTCCCACCCAAAAACCTGTTAGCAAATGGCAAACGCAACCTATCGCTTGGGAAAGGAATAGTAATGTTGTCATTTATTTTTGGCTCGAGGGAAAGGAATAGTAATGTTGTCATTTATTGGTCCAAAGCCATCTTGCTGCTTTTCCACACGGCACTTGTGCCGTGAAGTTTAAGGATAACTCAATGTGAGCAGCCCTCCGCGCCGTGCTTGACCTTTTCTGATGTCAGTTTTATCCAGTGCTGAATGTACAGGCATTCCAGAGGACAAAGCAAAGTGTTGGATGTTTTACAAACAATAATGAGTGCCGTATGTTTGTAGATATCAAGGCATTTTCTTTTAAAATAGGAAAATGAACCGCAGCAGGCCAGTCAAATTTGTGGTCTCTTGGGCCACGCAGAGCACACAGACTGCATTAACATCCCACTAGCTGCTTAATATACTCCCTGGTTTTTGCAACCGAAATATTAGCGGATTGTGTTGTTGTACATCACTGCTTCACAGAGCCTGGGTAAAATATAGTCAAGGCTGTTGAAATATTAGCGGATTGTGTTGTACATCACTGCGTCACAGTTGAAGAGCCTGGGTAAAATATAGTCAAGGCTGTAGCAATATTAAGCTACTCTAACCAGTTGGCAGCTGACTGGGTAGCGCATTGAATCGGGTACCTGGCTGCCGAACCGAGCACGGTCTCAGGTTTCCCCCGAAGAAGGGAGAGGTAAATCACTGCTAGGCACGCTCAGCATAGAAAGTCCTGGGAAGGGTCCCCGTAAGTCAGAACTGATTTGACAACAGCTACTTCCTCTAACCAGTCTGCACTCCCCTCCTTCCTGGGTTTCCCCTTTTCCTGTTTCCCATCAACTTCTAGGAGCAAGAAAAGGCTTCTGGGTTCTAGGACCCATGGGAGTGGCGCAAAAAAGAATGTGTAAAGAGAGAAATGAATGCAGTTTGCCACAGTGGTTCTGGTGAAGTCCAGTAGCAGGTTTGGGGAATCATTTACTTTGATGCACCCGGAAAAAAAAAGAAACACATGACAATTTCTTGAGTGAACTGTGTCTTGATTCCTTGCGCAATTGTTTAGTGTAATTTATAGATATAACGGAGCCTTTTAAGACAAATTTGTTTGAAATCCCAGATGTCTGGAATGATGTTGGATGGAATATTTTACAGGAGAATTTTGAACTCCTTGCAAATTAGGTTATGTAATGGGACAGCTGGTTTTCACATATGCTATAGTGGTGCTGGCTGACACTTCTCTCCTTTTTTTTAAAAAAAAAGAAGTATATAACTCAGTCAGAAATGTGTTGGTACATTTACATAACGCCTTGAACGTTTTTTCCTTCTAAATAGAAAAGGGGCAGCATAGATGGATTTAACTTTTAAAAATACATGGCACGACATTGCAAAAACAAACCTTTCTGTAAATTCAGCTTCTTAATTTAACTTTTCAGTAACCTTCTAAGGGAAACGTACCAGGTTTAGTTCCTGTGTTGACTTTAAAACATGTGTGATTTGCACTCCATAAAAGAAATATTAACCAACAAATCAAGTTAGCTAGAACCAATTGAAAAATCAATGTATATGCAGCTGGACTCATTGGAAACTGTATGTGCAATGCAATTCTCCACATGTTTATTCAGAGGTGAGCCCCACTGAGTTCGGATGTGTTAAGGATTTAGTCTTTCTTAGTCAGTGTGAGGCCTTAAGCTCAGTTATTCACAAAAATATGACATTGTGGAATAGAAATGGCCTTAGAAATAAAAGTTCTTGATTATCTTTCCCCATATTAGAGTGCATCTTCAGGACAGAGTGAAAAAAAAGTCAAACTGGGGTTGGTATTGGGTTGCATTCCTTTGGTACATCCTGAGATAACTAAATTAATAAGGTTACTGTTGGGGTGGCATTGTGAGTGTCTGTGTACACACACAATGATTTGTTTTCCTGATACTCTAGGTCTAAGTCAGGATTTTCACCAGATGTTTTCAGTTTTGCTCATGTGTAAATAAGAATTTTTTTGTTGTCCCCTCCCACACCTTTGTCCTGTCTGGTAATGACCATATGGATATATATGTATCTTGTATTCTGTCACCATCAGCTGAGAAAGTTTTCTGCTGACAAGCACAAAACATATTGGAAGGTTAATGAGAATACCACATAATTCGGAAGTTCCCTTTTTCAGCACAAGACCCATGGAACATTGCCAGGTAGTAGTGGGAAAATGTGTTTGTCACAGAAGAGCTGGTCTGTTAAAATCTGCCACTACATAATCAAGCATAAACTTCAAATGGATTTGCCAGGCACAGATACTCTTATTTTCCTGGCTTGTACTTACTGGAATATTAATTGTTCCTGTTGATATTTACAGGCATATTTTTACGGTTTTTAAAACCTCGCTCCCTCCTCTTCCCTGTAGTCTGATTTCAGTTGTAATGTCAAATGCTGGGGAGATGTCACACAAGGTCCTGAATGCCATATGCCACATGAGCCCATGTTTTCCAGGCCCACCTTAGTCAACCAGATACGTGCTTATCGCGTGGGGGAGGCAGGAGACTTGACGGAAGAACTGATGCCATTAGTAACAGTAAATGTATGTTGGACACTTGAATCTAGAAGTGTGGGTGGAGACTGGAAACACTTTCTCGTGTTTCCAACATGTGGTCCTTTGGAGCCCCGCAGGACATTCTGCTTATCGCATGTGCACCCAGTTTTTTGGAGTGGATATCTACTTTTCTGGCTGGTTTTCCTGCCTTGGGCTACTCAGTGTCTGCTGTGCTTATGTTGGGATAACATCCCTAAGAGACTGTCTTGAAGTCCTGCGGTTATAAAAAGAACAGAAAAGAGTTATTTAGAGTGTGTGTGCTCTGGTTAACTCATTTCCTGAATGCTCTCTATACATAGTTGGTTAAGTCTGACTATAAATGCTATATAGATTTGTGGTAACCTGAGCTAGTAAATTGTAGAGTTGAGCTGTAGAATGTATTTGGAGAAGCAAGAAAAATAACAATGTGAAATTAGCCATCATTTTCCCCTCGGCAATAATAAAGGGACTGTTCCTGTTTTGAATTATGCCATTTTAAATGCATGGTTCTAGGTGTACTTCTACATCCAGTTTAAAACAAAGTCAATCAAATACATCTGAGACAGTTTTGTTTCTGTGTACGTAGTCTCCAGTGTTCTGCACAAAGGAGCCAAAAAGATGCATGATCCCCTCAGCTCTGCGGAGAGCCAAGCCTGCAGAAGGTCGTGGCTACCTTTCCTCAGTTAAGAAAGAGTCACAGACAGCAGTGGCTGAATCTGTTGATGGCTCTTTCCCCCTGCTTCTGCGGAGAAATAAGGTTTCTGAAACCATGCTTGATTTATTACCCAAGAGGTGAAGTGGGCATCTTCAGGCAGTAGCACTTTGCAAATCTCTTCTCACTTCCCTTTATTTGCATCAGAAATGCCACAGTTCAGTTAAGAAATGCATTAGCTATGTCAAGAAAGGATTTTCTGGAAGAAAGTGATAGATAAGAGGTGGAGGAATTATGGCTAGTGATCCTCCTATGGTTTTGTCAGAGTTTAAATTAATAAATACCAACTAGTAGTGAACTCACTAGAACTGTGTCCTCTTTGCTGGTCCCTGTCCATTGGCGTCTGAGGAACCAGAGAGTGCGTGTCTACAGCTAAAAAAAATGAGTTTGTAGTACATTTAGGATATGACAAATGTATTTTGTGGGTTGTAATACATGTTGGGACATCATGTCGCTGTTAATAACCTTGCCAACTGGACTGTAAAGTTGATGTTGTGTTGTGATGATGCCTCCCTAGAAACATTATTTCTTATATTTCTCAGGCAAGCCTTGTCAGTAGATTTCCATTTTGGAAGAACCTGGCAGCATCATAGAGAGCTATTGATGGTTAGTGATCGGTAATAGGCTTTCCACGCTACTGAGGCTGAATACAGACATTCATTACACTGCCATTACACTGCCATTACTGTAAGTTCTTTGCCCGAAGTCAAATAAAACTTCTTTCCGAGGATTTCCTCCTCATCACCTGAGAAGCTTTAGATAGGCATTGAGACAGTGTTTGCTGATACTCCCTAGTTATAGAGAAAATAATCTTCATTAAAAGATCTCTGTTGAAGAAAAAAACCTGGTGAAAATTCCATCCAGAGAAAATGAGTGATATTGAGCTTTACGCCTACTTTCTTTTTTCAGTTGGGGCAACTTACCCTACCCAAATCCCAGCAAATTTATTCTCATCAGACTCGCTGAATGGATTCCGTGAATTGTGCAGCAGGTCCTCTGCAGCACAGTATTTATCAAGCATGGTCTTCTCACAAGAGCTGTGATGACACACAGGACAACTATAGAAGAGTCATACCGGCTTTAGAGTAGCCTCATATAGAAAAGAAAGCACAGACTAATCACGGTAGAATTGAGGACCATTCAATATATCACCATATCTGACTCATAGCGACTCTATCAATGAGCTCTCTCCAGAGTGTCTTCAGCTGTCCTATTCAGCTCTTGTAAACTCAGATCTGGGGCATCCTTTACAGAGCCAGTTTTCCTGCTGCAAAATTGGGTTTTCATACTTTCTCACTAGAAGAATTGAAGCATCTATTTCTTCTCACAGAACAGGATTCTGCTTATATAAAACATGGGAAACACATTTGTTTTACTTTTAAAATTAAGGGGGAAATAAATCAACACATTTTCTACTGGTTGTTGTGGGTTTTTCGGGTTCTTTGGATGTGTTCTGAAGGTTGTTCTTCCTAACGTTTCGCCAGGCTCTGTGGACGGCATCTTAAGAGGACAGGAGTAGCACTCTGTGCTCTGTTGCAGTTTGTTTGGGAGTTGAGTATTTTCTATTGTTTGGCTTTGATCCTGCGGTTATAAAAAGAACAGAAAAGAGTTATTTAGAGTGGGACAAGACTATCATCAGTATGTGATTGGTTTGAAGAGTGGCATGTGGTTTAGAATCCCTTCCCCCCCCCGTTCTACTCTACCTCTGTTTTCTATTCTCTGTGTCATAGGTTTGGCCTGTCATGAAATGTGTGTTGAAAACATCAGGTTTCTTTGCTAACATGTTTTCTTTATGGGCAGCTTTACTCTTTTGCTTTTTTAAAAAAATTATGTAAGAGAAATAATATAGTTTTTCAAATGGTACCCTGTTGTGTTTTCTAGGAATTAGCAAGCTGTGGATGGAATAAGAAAGAAAAACACATCCTTGCCCCTAATATTGTTGCCTTTACGAGAAGGTTTAATCAGGTAAAAATTCTAATTAAAGCTGATGAACAAACAGGGATCTGTCGAGGACTGAATTTGTAACTGCAGCATGCAACGGATTACTGTCAGAGCGGCATCTGATGGACTAACAAATGATCAAGGAGTTGTGATATATTTTGTTTCCTATAGCAGTGATGGGCAGATATCTGTCTCGCCAGGGTTTAAGACCTCTTTTGTCTTTTTGAATTCTAAGATGTACCAATCAGAGCTTAGCGCCCAAGTCATTTACTTAGAATGAAAGATTTCCTAGCCAGGGATGAGTTTAGAGTGCCAGAAATAAATAGAGTTTACAGCTGTTCCCCATAAAACTCTGTTCCCAGCTTCTCCAAACTTTCTTCGTTTTGACATTGTAATTAAGGGCGGGGCGGGTAATTCTGTTGTCTTATCGTTGTCACTATTGTTAGACAACTGGAAGTCAGAAATCCTTAATATTGCAGGAAGTCATCTAGAGACATGCCAGTAGATCCAGGTCAAGCTTCTGTCCACCCCACTTCCCCAGCTCATAGTGTGTTTCCATTTGGAGAAGAAACAGTTTCTCAGTTGTATTTGGCAGTTCTGTAGCAGTCAGCTAGCTACAAACCAGTGGAAGTAATTTTTCTGAAGCTGTGTTCCTATAATTAGTTAGTAATCTAGAAAATCAGTATCACCCTGTGTGATCAGTTTTGAAGCGGTAGCCCTGTTAAGTGTGTTCAAGCATGTCCATAAGAAACACAAAACAAAAGCAATAAATGACATCATGGCACCTTAACATGAACTGCTATGTTTTAGTGTAAGTTTTGTAGAACATATCCAGTTCATCAGGCAGAGCAGTTACTGTTTAAGGTGCCACAACATCTTTTTTTTCTTTTGTTTTGTGTGGTTTCTCGTTGAAGTATGTGATTACTTATTCTTTTGCTTTTTTAAATTTTTGATTGCCAGATTTTTTTGTGAAAGCTAACTAGTCGATGCCAGGAGCTTTTAAAAACACCAAGCTAATATCAATATTTGAGGTCTTACCATAGTTAAAAGCACCTAAGTTACTACACTATATAAAATGCAAAGAAAATTTATAAAATCTTCGTAAAATATATAGACATCTGGATAGTATGAACAATAATGCACCTGGCTTATTGTACCTTCACAATGGGGGTACTCAGCTTGTACACATAAAACAACTTGTTAAACACCTCACATTCCTCTGAACACCTATTAAGATTGCCATTAATAGGATGTGACTTGATGACACTTAACACATTTTAATGAATTGTAGTCTGAATTGTAATCCACTTTATTTTCTTTGATGGATAAGAGTGAACCATGTTTCATTCATGAAACTAAAACTTATGCATGTATTATTTACAGGTCAGTTTCTGGGTTGTAAGAGAAATTTTAACAGCTCAGACCCTAAAAATAAGAGCAGAAATATTGAGCCATTTTGTGAAAATAGCAAAGGTAAGTTTTCTTACTTTTAAATACTGCTTTCTGAGCTTATTCCTTCTTTTTTACGCCTATTCTCCACATGTCTTATACTATTCAAAAGGAAGCTATCCCCTGTACAAACCGGATCAGCACAGGTAGCTGAAAAAATATGCTTGGATTTATAACCTATCCAGATTGTTCAGATAAACAATACTGCACTTGCTAAGTCAAAATGTATGATGTAAATCAATTAATAAGACAAACGTATATTTGTGTCTTTGGATTATAACTCCCAGAATGTTCTCATCGAAATTCTGAGAATTGTCCAAAAAAGAAAAAAAAATATGCTTACCTCTATAAGTAGATGTTCTAATCTATCAGTGGCATCTTAGTACAGTTTTTTTAAAAGTATAATGAAAGAAAATGTCATTTTTAAAGCCCAGGCTCTTGTGATAATGCTGTATCATTTAATATGTGAAACAGGGCTTTCAGAACATAGGAATATAGGACACTGATTCTCTCTCTGCCCCCACTTTCCAGTTTCCTCTTCCTTAAACGCCCATTCTCAAAAAGCAATAAATCTGTAAGCATATTAAAGTTTCAAGGGATGTGGTAGCAGCCCCAAACACAGCATTTCAGAATTGCATTCATGGTGAAAGAGCCTTCAAAAGCAGCTTCTTGTCCCAAAAAGTAGTTCAGAAACATGTGATGGGCATCATCTGAAGTGAGTCCTCCCTACAGCTGTTCAGTTTTGAACTACAATTTATGTTTACAGTAAAACATTTTGTTAAATTAAGGAGGCACTTTGGGGAACTGGCAAGAAATTGAGTTAATAACATGAGTAAACAGAAGTTTGGATGAGTTACATAGCAAGCATAATAAATTGCAGTACACCAATGAAAGTTACAAATCCTCTCCTGTCTGTTTTCCTTAGTCTCCCCCCTCTCCCAGTTTTCTTTTCTATGGACTCTCCTTCCACTGCAGTCATTCTTATTTCTTCTCACTTTCAGTCTTGTGTTTGCAGGTGTATCTCATGTCCGCTAGTTTCCTACTCATCTGAATTTATCTCCTGCTTTCTCAAGCTTAGAATCATTCTTACATCCTTGCCACTGAAGGTTATTACCCAAATCAAGCAAAAGCAGACACTTGCCCTTTATGCTTCCCTTTGGCTAAATTGAGTTTGGAGAGGCCGAGGCAGAGAGAAAGCAGTGGGATGCGCAGAGAAGGGGAGAGGGCAGCCTCCCACCGCCATCCCTGATCTTGCCGGTAGAGACAAAAGAAAGGAGCCTCCTCCTTTTGTACCTTGTGTTGTCCACACCCGGTGTGGGGGGCAGAGGAGGGTGTTTGCTTGGAGGGCACAAAGCAAATTAAAAAGAAAAGCTGGTGTGTGCACCCAAACTAGAGGCCTCCCCTACAGGATCTCTGTGTCTGTGTAAAAACAAAAGAGACTCTTGATTCTCTGGCCTGCTCATACCAACCCACACCAAAAAAAGTGGAAGCCTCTGACCGGGGCTCAAAAAGATGTGGTTTGGGGTACCCTGGGAGAAGATTGGGGCAAATTGGTCCACTCGTATGGAGGCCAGAAACAAGAGCAGACCAATCCAGCCCAGCAATGCAGCAAGCAGGAGGCCAAATGCTTGTCTGGATATGTCCTCAGGTACGAAAATACAAAGATTCAAAAACTGCAAAGAAATAAAAAGATACAAAAGCGGTTTTGAATTTAGCAAGCAAGACAGTAACTCTTATATACTGTACATTTCTATACATTTGCCAAACAACAAAATCCGGCTGGTCTTGCCTGTTTACTTTTTCTCTTTGTTAAGTAACTTGAGATATTTTAGGAAGTAATCGTGTTAAATATTATTCCTGCTACTGACAGTGGCTGGCCCAAAGTCACGTGATGGATTTTGTATCTCCACGGGGCACAATTAATTCAGCAATCTGACTGTTTTTTGTTTGTCCATCCACCCATTCTTTCCATTCATTCCCAGTGTTTCTCCCAAAGAGCTCAAGTACTTGGCTCTATTCCTCCCCACTTTATACCCACAAAAACAAAATTTTTATTTTGTTACATTTATGAGTCTCTCTATAACAGAATGTCAGACCAACAAGCAATAAACCAAAAAATTAAAACATGCAGGTAGAAATCAAGTTAAATAGCAGAATCAGCCGTACCTAAACTGTGTATTTAGCAAGGATAGAAAACAGTCTAGGTATTTAGGAGCAGCAGCAGGAGAGAAGTTCCACATTAGAGGGTATATTTATCACAATCCAGTACAGGAGTAACTTCTGTATAGTAAACGGTGTTAGAACACACAATCCTTCATTGTTGAAATCGGTTTTTACTTTTCTGTCCACCCTGCCTCCAGAATTAAGGGGTCTCTCTCCTATGTTAGCAGGATGAAGCTCTTCATAAAAGAGACTCTACTATTTGTAAGACAAGGAAAAAAAGGCATGAGATATATCACACAAAGAGTAAATACTTCACTGTGGTATTCATCTAACCTTGCCCATCGCTGCTTATCACACTGTGCTCTGCCTGCTATTTTTGTGTATTTGTAAGACAAGGAAAAAAGGCATGAGATATATCACACAAAGCGTAAATACTTCACTGTGGTATTTATCTAACCTTGCTCATCACACTGTGCTCTGCCTGCTATTTTTGTAGCATTAGTGTGAGGTAATGAAGGCTGGAGATAATTCATTTTCGAGTGCTTATTGACCACACTGGGCAGCAGGCAAGCCTCCAGAATTCAGATACATTCCCAAATGTTATTGCTTCATATTTAGCTAGCAGTGTTTCTACTGCTCCAAAGAGGCATGATTATTTGAACTATGAAAGCTTAATTTTACTATTTGTTTATCTATTGCTAATACCATAAGCATTTAAAAGGTACAATGAGCGACAAGATAATCTGTCTACTTGGTTCTGGTCTTTACATCTTGTAGTTTCACATCGCAGTGAGGCATTCGATTATTTTGAATGTTCTGTAATTTGCAGTATAAAGAGCAAGCCTCTGGAACATCTATTATTCTGTTGAATGAGCAGAGACATTCCGACCTCACAGTATTTTGTTGAATGAGCAGAGACATTCCGACCTCATATGGAAAACTCATGGTTGTGTTTTTGGTCTTCCTTCCTCCCCCAGAAACTTCTAGAACTGAACAACCTTCATTCCCTCATGTCTGTGGTATCAGCTCTGCAAAGCGCACCAATTTTCAGGCTGACGAAAACCTGGGCTGTAAGTTAATGTGGACTGTATGTTCCCTTTTCCTTCTATCTTTGAAGTGCTCTACCTGGTTTGTAGGTGCTTTCCATAAATAACTTATTTTACATTTCCTTAGATGGGAACAGTATTCTGCCATACTCCCCTGGTCTGTAATAACCTTCCACTGAGTTTTTCTGTGCTTTTTGCTCATTCGTGGAAATTCATTTTCAACTTTACATTTCCTTACATAATAACAGGGCCAGTATTCTGCCATACTCCCCTGGCCTGTGATAACCTTCCACTGAGTTTTTGGCAAAGAGGGAAGAAAGCCCCTTTGCTACGTTTTCTGTGCCTTTTGCTCATTCGTGGAAATTCATTTTCAAATCCTGTTCTCTGATGTAAGTAGCATCCGAGAGAACATGCATTATGACTTAATTACATTTTATTTCTACTCTACACCAGTTAGGCACAAACCTGGCTACATCTGAGTTTCTTACAAATTCTCCACAGATATAAAGCCTCCCAGAGAATGCACAATCCTTGGAGTCAAGCTTTTTATCAAGAGAAAAGAATGAGAGATTAGTGAGCAGTAATATTACAGAGAATCGTGTGTGTGTTCCATTAACTGATCTGAAAGGCATACAGTGGGGTCTGTACTTAAGAACTTAATCTGTATTGGAAGGTGGTTCTCAAGTTGATAAGTTCTTATGTTGAATCTGCATTTCCCATAGGAATGCATTGAAAACCATTTAATCCGTATCTGCTCTTTTCCGTCCATAGAAACTACTGTACTTGCACTATTAAGTGGGCTCGCCTTGCCACGAGTCACACTGTGGCATTTGTGGGTCGTGGTGGTTTGTAGGCAACAGTGAAATGAGTAAAAGCCCTTCCTGGGGTTTTGTGTCCAAAGCACTGTATAGTGGCCATCTCAGAACTGCTTTAATTTGGCTATAGCTTGTTGTGGCCCCAGTTTCCATTATTACTAGCTGATTTCAGCTGTGTTTGAAACCACTTTGAATCATCACCACCTTCCTTTAATGCACCTTTAATAAGCGATATTGATTCATGGGAATGAGGGGAAGGCAAGCTTTGATAGTCATAATGCCTTTGGCATCCGTCACTCACTTGTGGTCATATTTCGGTGAGCAGGACCTAGAAAAAAGAAAAAAAATGTTTTATAGGCCTAGAATTTGAAAGCACCACTAGAGATAACGGCCTGGAATTTGTGTGTGAAAATCAGTCTCGCGCTGATTTAGAGTGCACTATGGAAGCACATGAAGGGTGTGCTGAATTCTCCGACTGGGGGGAACTTTTTAAAAGAATAAATTCAAGTAGGAAGTTGTGAAGAAGCAGAAGGTTTGACAGTTTACTCCCACCCAACAGTCAATTGCACTTTGAGTCCCCTACCCTGTTTTACAGAGAATTAACGGGACATGGGCTGAGTTCTGCTGTCTCGGGGCCGGTTGTGACCAATTCTTGCATTGAAATGTGGCGAAATTTTATTGGAAACTGTACAAATTTGGGAAAAGAACCAAATAGCTGCAAATGGAGAGAAGGATGCCTTCTCTTTTCCCACCACTTGTCCATTGTTCTCAGTATTTGGTTGCAAGCAATAAACAATAAAAACTGGAGCAATCTTATTTATTTTATTTATTTAGTGAGTGTCATTTGTAGGCTGCCAAGGCTGAGGACTTGGTAATTCTGAGGTTGCTTGCGGAATCATTTGAATAAATGGTTTATTTGTAGTACAGTTGCTGCTTACATTTTAGAATAGGATAGGTCATACTTTAATTGGTAAAGCCAATTTTTTTCTGCGTAGCCATTTATTGAAAGTACATTTGCATTTTAAGAAACCAAAATAATTCTCTTATTTTAGTGGAGTTCTTGTGGAAGTTTTGGCTTTGTTTGAAGGAATGTGTGCTCACTTTCCATGACATTTTCCACAAACATTATTCATGGGCTCTTAGTCCTGAAAAAAAATGAAGCGGGACTGTATCTTGTTACAAATTCTTTCTGCAGCTTTGCTATACTATACCGTGCTCCGTAGATGGTGTGTAATGTGTCTTAAGCTGGTTCTATATTCTTTAGTAACATAAGCTATTCACCATCGTTTTCTTCCTCGGTATCGAATCATGGCATTATAAAAATACCTTTGTAAGTGCTTTGCCTTTAAGGGCCCATTGGCCCTCCTCCCTGGATGAGCCCATTGCAAGGCATTCAGGTCCAGAAACTGAAACAAAACAACCTCAGCAAAAATCCACAATTTTTTTCAGTAAGGTTGAGCAGCTCAAACATTGTTTTCCCAGTCAGAAGGCGGAGCAAGGATGCCCCTTAGGTCTGTGTCTGTCAAATGTTTGATGTCACTTCACTTTTGGAAATCTATTCAGAAATTCTTTCTCCGCAGAAATTCCTTAGTGAGGTATCACAAACATGTCCCATGTGTGCGGATGTTGTGCATGAACAAGATAGGGATCTTTCTGCCATAATATATAATAAGTGGATTATAAACTTCTTTGAGAGGTCATTCTCTTTGAACATCTGGCCTGCCCAACCAATTTTCTAAAAAATAGTTTTTGTAGTAGGGTATGGTAGGGGAGAGCCGAAAAAAGAAGTTTCAAGTCCCCATGGGCACCCTGAATTAAATTGTTTTAAAAAAATTATTAAAGGACAATAACAAATAACAAAACTAACTTAAAATACATATTCAGTAAAAACTATACACAATACAAATTAAACCTTCCCCACCTGTGCCCCCCTCTCCCTCGGGACTAGGTAACCAATAATATCATTTTACAATTTTTCACCCCATTCCACTCCAAAAATACATTGATTCTGTTACATAACTGGCATTACACCAGCAAGCATACATAATAGGATTCCGGCCACAGTTTTCTGCATTGATTGCCCAAGAATAAAGTTCCCTCCAAATATATACAGTGGTGCCTCGCTTAACGATGTTAATTGGTTCCATTAAAAAAATCGTTATGTGAAAACATCGTTAAGTGAAACACCATTTCCCATAGGAATGCATTGAAAACTGGTTAATCTGTTCCAATTGGAACAGATTAATGCTTGCAATCATTAGCCCTCCTCCTGAAACCTATGCAAACTTAATTTGGTGTTGTTCTGAGTCGTTGTTAATTTTTGGTGATTTTTTCTCTCTCTCATTGAAAAGTCCAATGCTTTTCAATGAGAGAGAGAGAGAAAATCACCAAAAATTAACGAAGACTCAGAACAACACCAAATTAAGTTTGAGTAGTTTTCAGGAGGTGAGCTAACGATTGCAAGCATTTAAAACAGGCTTCAAATCACCAAAAATTAATGACGACTCAGAACAACACCAAATTAAGGTTGCATAGGGTTCAGGAGGTAGGCTAACAATTGCAAGCATTTAAAACATGTTCCAAACATTATAAGACACTTAAAAATGAGCGAAAACGGAAGAGCTTCAAAAGCACTGAAGCCGGCTTCGGTGCTTTTGAAGTCCTTTCCGATGTCCGTTTTCGCTCATTTTTAAGTGTCTTACAATGTTTGGAACCAGTTTTAAATGCTTGCAATCGTTAGCCCACCTCCTGAACCCTATGCAACCTTAATTTGGTGTTGTTCTGAGTCGTCGTTAATTTTTGGTGATTTTTTGTTTTCTCCATTGAAAGCCTTTGAACGGACCATTCAAAGGCTTTCAATGGAGAATTTTAAAAATCACCAAAAATTAACAACGACTCAGAACAACACCAAATTAAGGTTGCATAGGGTTCAGGAGGTAGGCTAACAATTGCAAGCATTTACAACAGGCTTCAAACAGTTTAAGACACTTTTACAGGAGCGAAAAAGGGACATCGTTAAGTGAAATTCCCCCATAGAGAACATCGTTAAACGATGGGGGAAATTCCTCTAAGAAACCCATCGCTGTGTGAATTCATCGTTGTATGAAGCAATCATTGTGCGAGGCACCACTGTACCTTCCAAAAATTTCCTTTTGGGCACTCGGAGATCTTTGTCACATGATGGATGTGACATCACATCAGTTCTGTTGGCCATCTCAGAGAAAATTTTCAGTAAGTCTGTTTTACCTCAACAACAAAAGTTTGGCGGGATCCTAAAGATGATAGATCTACTGTAGCATGAGTTTTCGCAGATTACAATCCATTTCTTCTTCTATTTAGTGCTTCACAGATCATCACAGTAGAACGTACCAGATACAGAACTTGATTTATTTATTTTTTCTTAATACAGCCAAAAAATAACATGTACTTTTCGGTTCTTTGCTAATGCTTGCTTTAGTTTAATTCATGTTTTAATAGATTTTGGGGAGAGAGGATATGTGTGTTAAGGTCTACAAATTAGAAAATAATAGTCCTTTTGCTATGTGTATATTTACTGTATAGAGTTTTGTTTTGTTTTATGTTTTTATTCCAAGTGATTTGTTCTGGATATTCCACTAAGCATATTTGTGCTTGCCCAGTAGCTACTCTTCTGTCAAATATGTTTAGATTTTTTTTTTGTATCCCCTTTCTGCGTTAAAGAGAGAGAAAAATGGAGGTAGCTGCAGGAGTTCCAAGCAATCACGAAAACGAGGGAGAGCCAATTACCTCTTGGAAAAGAACATTGTTGGTTTTGGACTGAAGTGCAAAATTCAGAAGTCTAGAGAAGTTTTTTAAAAATCCTTTTGAATGAATGTTTTAAAACGTGTAACCTGAAAGGAACAATTGTACTTTCAGAGAAAGCAAATGTCCCCAAAAGGATTGTTCTTATGGAACAAAAACTGAATTATTGCTCTCTGCTTTGTGTGGAACAAATAATATATTATATTATGAATAATTCTAGAATCAAAACAACATTTTGTACAAATGGAACACTTGGGAATTTCAGTTTTGTTGTTTTGAAATTGATCCAAGGCTATAACTAAGATGGCATAAGTGGGACTCCCCCCCCCAATCAAAACTTAATGATTGGTGAAATCTAGGGTGCTTTTTTTTTAAGTATAAAATTTCTCTTTTTTCCTTCTTCTGCTCCTTTTGAAGCTAGCACCCACA